AATCTTGTCAATTGAGATAATAATAATAATAAGATTGTTGTGTGAATATAACATGTAATAAGGAGGGTGTTATCAAGGTATCCGTTATTCCCAATTCGTTTATCGTAATTACCTTGACAACATCCCCCCTCCCTTATTACATATTATATTCAGACAACAATCTTATTATTATTATTATCTCAATTGACAAGATTAAATTCACCTACTATGCATTTTATTCACACGATTTGTTTTGCATTTTCTTTGTTGCTATAATACTATTCTACTGATCGGCACCGAACACTTTACTCCAAATCATCTTGATCTTTATTGAATGACCTTTCTCACTTACAAATAAAAAAATTTTGAAGTATAGATATATGTAGTAACAGATGCAAACGTGCACCATTTCTAACATATAACATTGTCAAATTCATTAACACTTGCCTTATTTTTCAGCCTTTGTAAAAGATCACAAATATTTATGGACTTATAACTGTAGAGCCTGATGATGAAGTTATTGCAGAAACAATTATTCGCTCAAATATTCTTCATTTTTGAATATTCTATGGGGATTTTTAAACTACACAAATGACTGACTTCAAGAGATACTGCTGGAGTTCTAGTGGGAAGCCGTTACCAGTGGAGTATAACCAGGTCTGTTGTAAGATATCAGTTCACTGAAGACAATGGTATACGGTGGCGCGACCTCGTGGATTGGTTGGAGTTAGACTTTAACACCGTTAGATGCCGGCTAAGTGGTCTAATGGCTAAGTGCTCGCGCGCGAAGCCATTAGGTCCTGGGTTCGAGCCCCGTGGGGTGCGAACCGTGAATGCGCACTGCCGAGGAGTCCCTTACTAGGACGAAACGGCCGTCCAGTGCCTCCCGGTTTTCCATGGTAGTCTAGCTTCAACTGACTCATGATTTCAATCTGTGGAATATATATTTGTAGATATTTCACTGAGTAGAAAAGTTTGATTTTCTGATGTTTCGTGACTTAGTGTGAGCTACTTCTTCAGAGAACTTGGATTAATTTTAATCTGGTTATTTATTCCCTGAAGAAGTAGCTTACACTAAGCCACGAAACATCAGAAAATCTAACTTTTCTACTTAATGGGATATCTTCATATATATTGATCTATTTATATCATGCATGTTTATGTATAAGATTGAACTAATTACATTTATGTCAAATGTCATTATTGTACATTTTAGTTACCAGGGTGGAACTTGTAAATTGTAAATTTGAATAATTAGGTGTGATTATGTTTATTTATAATCAATAAAACTATTTTTTTCATTTTTTTAATGTTTAATTTGTTTTTCCATGAAATATATCAAAGTGTATTCATTTCTTGGTGATAAAGATGACCTTTTTAGATGACGGAGAAGATTTATAGCTCAGCTGAATGATTTGAATAGAGTTTTGTTCTTTGAACTAGATAGTCATTTGGTCATGGAGCTTCAAGTTGAAGTTTGTGCTGAAGATGATGTCATTCAGAAGAATGATGAGTGCTCTACAATTAAACCATCGAGTTCAGAGAACAAAACTTCATTAAAACATCATGATTGTTTTTTGTTTACCAGTGACATTAAAAAAAATTATTGGTTAAAATACACCCTTCATATGTATAAACAAAGTTAATTAACAAAAAAATACAGTTTTATTATAGTAACTTTAAGTTAAAACTGGGTTAATATTATTACTCTCTACTGTATTCTATCACAAACAGTACTAAACAAGTTAAGCAAAGATGGATAGTGGCTAATAGTGGAATCCAGGACGCGCATTTCGTCCTAAGCGGGACTCATTAGCTGAACGTACCTGCATCACAGAGTTGATTTTCACTCCGTGACTAACAAATAGAAATCGCCTTTCTTGGCCATGTTAGAGCATTTAGAAAAGGAGAGCGAACTCTACCCTCAGCCGTACCATGGCGTTTGGTAGCCAGTTGTTATGTACAGAGAATAAGATCTAAAAGAAATCTTATTGTCGTTTAACTCAGTTGCGAAAGAACTTCCAATATCTACTTTAATTAGATCTACCATGCAGTGAAACAGTTTAGATAACATACTAAATAAGCTTGGTACTCTATGATTAGATAAAAATTTCATTACATCTGTTATCATATCGATTCAACATGTTGTTTAGTTCAGTCGAGAAATGATGATGATGATTATGATGATCGATTAAAAACCTAACTTTTAACTATTCAGTGATTTGATTCAACACTCAGCTTCTGAGTTTCCGATATTCTAGCCTACTATATTTACACTTGTCGGTATGTATTTAGGTCTGGATAACTTAACTATTGCTAACTATAACTGATTAGTGAACTTGAAAAATATGACTCAAGAGACTTAATCTACCTGAATGAGTTCAAATTGTGGTTCTATTTGAAATCAATTGTAATATCCTGTTGTTCATAGGATACAGAAAATATTTTATCCTCAGACATTTAATGCAAATTAATTGTGGTGTGTGCTACTCATATCTACATAAGTAGTAGGAATATAATATCCGGTAGCAGAAGATTTAGAAGATCAAGAAGGAAACAAGGAGAACAGAAAACAATTGATATAGAAATGCAGGAACAGTGAAGAATGAGACGATTGACTGATATTTGCAAAAGGAACAGTTGAGTTTGAGAAAATTGATTGACATTTTAAAAATGAAGTATTTACTATATGGTTTTTAGTTTTTTCCTAAGATGTTCTGTAATCTCTTGTTGAAATACATTCGATTGTCTCCATTTTTGTTCTCGTTGACTATAGTATGACAGCTAGAAAAAAGTATTTTGTTTCACAGGAAATTCATAGTAGACTAATTAAGATGTTTTGGAACTTTCAGAATTAGAGAAAGTGATTATTCTTTATCTTTAACTAACTATGATATGACAGGTTCAACTATTAAGTATGATGTAGTACTGATTATTACCCAATATTGCATGACACCCTTATATATATATATATATATAGCACTGGGCGGCCGTTTCCTCGTATTGTGGGACTCCTTAAAAGTGTGCATAAACGATCCCGCCTCGTGAGATTCGAAGTCAGGACCGGCTCAGTGGTCTAGTGGTTAAGTGCTGGGTTGAAATCTCGCGAAACAGGATCGTGGATGAGCACTAATGAGGAGTCCCATAGTAGGATGAAACGACCAACCAGTGCATCCAAGTTTTCAAACTGACTCATGATCTCAACTAATGAAATTACTATCCTATCCAGAGAAACCCTTTTCTGATTATTTAATTCCGTTATTCACCAACGCAATTTAAGTCGATTATAATATACGAGGATAGCCGATATGTATATTTCAATAGCAATCAGAAACGATTAAACTGGAGTTCAGATATATAAAGCCCTACAAATATCATTAGCTCGTCGATAACATCGTACAATCTAATTGGAGTCACATCACGAGCCACTAAAAACAAAAATGAAATAAACTAAAGACATTCATTCAAAGTTTTAAAATAGACTCAAATGTACACCTTCATTTGTAGACAATTACAAGTTTCTTAAATAAAAACAAAAAGTCATTAAAAATATTCTGATTTGATAGTAGTATTACACCAATCAACAATTTCCAAGTCTATCATTTCATCTGCCTTTCATATTGTCATCATTACTCACTTACTTACTTATTTACGCCTGTTACTCCCAATGGAGCATAGGCATAGATAGATAGATTGTAAAATTATTTGATTGGTGCAGGTACATCCAACGGATTATATATACACATAGGTTGTTAGTAAAATTGATAAAATAAACTTACTTACTTACGCCTGTTACTCCTCGTGAAGGAGCATAGGCCACTTACCAGCATTCTTCATACAACCCTGTCCTGGGCAATCCTTTCCAGCTCCTTCCAGTTGTTATTCATCCTTTTGTATATCTGTTTCTCTTTCCCGACGCTGATAGAACAAAAAATGTTTATTCATTCATATATCATATTATTTCTATTATTTCTATTATGTAATCTAGTGCATAATTCATCATTCTGTGGTTCTATTTCTCCTTCAAATATGGTAAAACTAGTTTTTCTTTTTTAACTAAACATATTTATTTGATATTTAGGAGCATGGATTACCTATTCATCCTGATAAAATGGATAAACGAAACATGCATCCTCGAAGATTAACGTTCTATCCATATTTTACTGAAAGTTTTCATAGATTGCAGTACTCTGTCAAACTTTTGGTACGTATTATTATAAAAAATTTTACTTGTATAATTGTGTAGAATAGAAACTATGTTATACTATATATATACTTATATTTTGATAGAGTTTTGTTCATTGAGCTGGATGGTTTGGTCGTGTAGCTTACATCATTCTTCTGAACAGCATCATCAGCATAAACGTCAGGTAGAAGTGAAGTGTTCGAATTTCTCCACAGATGTTTCACTGCTTGTCCTGTACACCTTGATGTTGATTGGCTCCTGTTGACCTTAACCTGTCATTCTTTACTCTTTTTTTCTTTTGGCTGTATCTCCCGTTGGTTTGATTTTTGTTCATAACATGTGAAGAAATTCGAACACTTCACTTCTACCTGAAGTTTATGCTGATGATGTCGTTCAGAAGAACAATGAAAGCCCCATGACCAAAACATCTAGTTTAGAGAACAAAACTCCATCAAAATCATTCACATGAGCTACAAATCGTCTCCACCATCTCATATATGTATATTTCATATAGATTTTTCAGATTATTTTATTCCATGAAATATAATTTATGGACGACCTTTGAGTGACGCTGAAGTAACCTTGAGAGTGCTCATCTAATAACTAGAACCAAATGAGGGTTATAGGCCAATGTGAGGGCTGGATTTATGGTTTTCATCACAAACTGACATCAGCTATCATACCAAAACTCTTTTAAGCCGAGTGGATTAATGAATTTTGCGCCAAAATCCGAGATCATTATCTTATACCTGATTCGTTCGTCTATAAATTGTAGTCTCACCTTTTTTATCAGTCTTTTAATATATATATTTTACAGGAGTTCGCATATCAGGCAATGCAGTTTTGGCAAGAAGCGTTAACAGTTAAAAGACCAGAAAAAATTAATCAGCTTGCTCAAAGGTATCATTTGAATAATTGATTTTCAATTTTTCGATTATCATCATTGTGGTGTTGTGGAGATTAATAAAATTTTAATTGAGATTATGAATTGTTTGATATTAGATCATCATTGAAAACCTGGAAGTACCAGATAGCCGTTTCGTCTAAATACAGGACACTTCATCTGTACACATCTACGATTCCGCTCATGGGTTCGAACCCAGGACCTTCGCTCTCACGTGTGAACGCTAAACTTCCAGACTACTAAGCCGGCACTCAACGGTGTTATTGTCTAATTTCAACTAATCCACGAAATCGCGCGACCATTTTCCATTGTTCTGAGGTAGATACCTGTCTCTACCCTGCACGGACTAGTTCCTCTGGTCGCGATTTCTTACTAGGACTTCAAGAATTCCCTCACGGAGCTAGTTACCAGTGACCTATCAAAATGTTTTAGCTTTAAACTACAACAATGGTTAAATGTTACATTTAAAAAATGATTTTTTTCCTAAATATCTAGATATTGTGAAAGTTCCAATAACTACATTACTTATCCAAAGGATTCTGTTTGTATTGAATCACGATGCCAAATTCAAGCAAAATGTGGTCATGTAGATATCCCAAATGAATATTCATCTGTGAGTATATTACTGAAATGTTCCATTTATATGAATGTTGTAAATCATACTTTTACAAGTCTATTACTTCTATTTCAACAAATACTGTTAACATTTATGCCGATTTTTAATGTATATAGTTTACGTTAGCTGAAAAATGAATAAGTGAAGGTAAACGATGAAGAATTTCAGTCTTTCTAATGCTTACTTACTTGCGCGTATTACTCCCAGTGGAGCATAGGCCACCGACTAGAATTCTCCGACCCACTCAGTCCTTAATCTTCCTTTCTACTTCTACCCAATTCTTGTTCATTTTTCCTATGTTTGTCTTCATTTCTCGGTGTAACCTGTTCTTTGGTCCTTCTCTTCTCCTTTGGCCTTGAGTATTGCAAGTGAGGATTTCCCTTGTGGCGTAGTTGGTTTATTTCTTCAACGTGTGTCCTATCCACCTCCAACGCTTCTTTCTGATTTCTTCCCCCACTGGAATGTGGTTTGTTCTCTCCCATAGTAGGTTGTTGCTGATAGTGTGTGGCCAACGGGTCCGAAGTATTTTGCATAGACAACTGTTAATAAACACCTGTATCTTCTGGATGATGGTTTTCGTAGTTCTCCAAGTTTCCACCCCATTCATTAGAACTGTGTTGACATTTGTATTGAAAATTTTGACTTTGGTGTTTGTTAGCAGTTGTTGTGAATTACAGATTTTCTTCAATTGTAGATATGCTACTCTTGTTTTGCCGATCCGTGTCCTTCTAATAACTATCAATCAAAAAATATATGTTTAGAAGTGTATGACTTCTGTTAATAAATTTAATCGACTGAAATGTACTGTTTATAGATTGTTTATAATGAAGTACTGTTATAAAGGTAAATCTAAGAGCGTCTACAAGATATAAAGAAATACTTAAACCTTTATCTAAAACTATCAAAAGCCTGTTCATTCATTATTGTTCACTTTTATTCCCCATTTAATTATTTACTCAGTTCATTATATTCTCTGTTGTAATTATACATTCCATTAATTTATGGACAACCTTTGAGTGACACTAAAGTGACCTTGAGAGTGTTCACCCAATAACTATAATCAAATGAGGTTTATAAATCTGTGTAAGGAATTGCAATTATGATTTACATTTGATAGTTAAGGTTAGGAATTACATTTATGGTTTACATTACAAACTGACATCAGTGATAATGTCAAAATGCTATTTAGTCAAATGAATGACTGAATTTTGCGTCAAAATCCTAGACCTTTTTGCCTTGTAACTAAGTGGTTTGTTCATAAATTATAGTCTTATCGAATCTACTTCTTGTCTTGTGTTAAAATTTATTCAGCATGAATATATAGAAATATAATTATTACACTTAATAAAAAAGTATGTACATTTCATGTGTTCAATATATGCTACTTAAATTACGCATATGAATATTATTATTCATCAGGAATGTTCAGAAAAGTACAATGGAAGGTTGCATAGACTATACACTAACGGGAGTGGAATTCCATCTGCCGGTTATGTCCTACTTTTTGACGGTTATCAAACAAGGAGCTGTACCGGCAACGTAGCATCTCATGCTGGATCTTGTTTAATGGATCTAGATACAGACAGGTAATTACATTTATTTAATTTTATAGAAAAAATATAAAAAAAGGTGATTTTGAAAAAATCTTTTGAGTATTGTGAACCTTGTTGTTTGTTTCTTAAAAGAATAAAGTTGAAACAAAGTTTAAATTAATAACCGTTTTTTGTCTGTAAACTGATATTGTAGTGTGTGCAAAATAAGTAGTATATAAACAGAGTCAGGAATAGAATGTCTGTCAGTAAAAGATTGGGAAGATCAAGAATGAAAGAACGAGAACAGAGAACAATTGATATAGAAATGCAGGGATAGTGAAGAATGAGACGATTGACTGATATTTGCAAAGGCAACAGTTGAGTTTGATAAAATTGATTAAAATTTTACAAATGGAGTATTTACTATGCATCTGTCATGAAAAAGTAGACTAATGAATGATGCACATTTTATTCTTGTTGTAAGTGCGTCCAGCCTATGTATCTCAAAATCGACATTATGATATTCCTGAATTTCATTGTTACACATTTACTCATGAATCTAATTTTATTGTCAGAAAGCTTTAGTTGTGTGATGTGAGCTACTTATATTGACATAAGTAGTATATAACTCTAGTCAGAAATATAATGTATTATACATAATATTTGACTAGAGTAGTCGATCGAGAAGGAAAAACGGGAACGGAAAACAATTAGTATGAAAATGCAGAAACAGTGCAGTGTGAGACGACTGACTGATATTTGAAGAGGGAGCAATCAAGTTTGAGACAACTGATTGACATTTTGCAAATGATGTATTTACTGTATGATTCTGAGATTTTACTAAGATGTTTTGTAATTTTTTGTTGAAATACATTCGATTGTTTCCATTTGTGTTCTCGTTCACTAAAGTACTTCCTTTATCTTGTCATTGATTCCACATTTTTGTTGAGCCGAAAGGTTTTCATCCCTAAACTTTGTAAGGAATTATTCTACATACATTTTCGTCAAATATGACCAAATTTTGTATTATCAAGGTAGTAATTTGATGAAAACGGTGACTTTTACACATTTCAAAGTCTTTTTGAAAAGAAATATTGAAGTATGAATCATTTCTTTAACTCTTTGACTGACATCGGGTAGAATTTAAATCCAAATTTAAAACTATCTACATTACAAGTTGGTTACAAATGAAAACTAAAGAAAACTATAATTGAAACCAATTAGAATGATTGATTGTGTTATCGATTTTCATGGAATTTTATTCTCTGAGCTGGATGGTTTGTTTGTAGAGCTTTAATCGTTCTTCTGAACAACCTCATCAGCACAAACTTCAGATATAACTGTTACAGATCATTTATGTGAAGAATAATAGTAAATTCTATCTGTCATTAATACCATCTACCCTTCATAGTAAACTTGATGGTAGATAGAAAAAACAATAATATGTTCGATTGATTATGAATATCATTGATTTTGAAATGCTTGTACTGAAAGTTAGTTAATCCAAACTACCCATATTTGGTTTTCTAATACTCAGTTTTTTGATAGTTGAATTCTTAAAGTCTATCTAAGCTAGATTACCATTGAAAACCTGGAAACACTAGAAGACCGTTTCGTCCTAGTAGAAATGTAAACAAAAAATGAAATAATAACATAAGCAAATCCACTTAATGTTGTTTTACTGTAATTGATCAGTCTCTTGTTGGCATATGTTTATCCTGTGCGGATTGTCTCGATATTGCTTTAAGTCATGAGTATTATAAGCAAAGATGGATCTTTGTTCCAGACTGAACATCAACTCTGAGATAAAGGTACATTCAGTTGATGAGTGCCAAATAGGACGAAACACACTTACTGGATTCTTCTACTAGCCACTATCCATTTTTACTTGATAACATAATCAATTTTGAAATAAAATTTTAAGAGAAATTATACTGGTATTTGTTTATATTGTAGACCAATTCTTGGATATGTTAATGTATGTCCAGGTAAACTGAAAATTGAATATCCTGAGAATAGATATTCACTTGGAATTTTCACTCATGAAATTGCTCATGCACTTGTAAGTTTATCTATTCTCTTGGTAACACGTATTTGAAATGAACACTATCAATAGATTACATCATCTTGGTTGAAGTTCGTTTACAAACTTTATTTATTCTGAACATGCGTTTACCTAATATTATAATCAAAGAGTGGTTTTGTGGTAATTATAGTAATTTAAAAGTTGAATTTATGATTCGATTGAATCTAGAACAACATGGAAAATCTGGAAGCACTGAACTACTGTTTTGTTTTATTGTGAGACTCCTCAGCAGTGCTCATCTACGATCTCACCTCGTGAGATACGAACTCAAGACATGTAGGTCTCGTGCGCGAACGTCCAACCTCTAGACCACTGGGTTGACATCCAACGGTGTTAATGTCTAACTTCAACCAATCCACTGACCGGCGGAGTTGAACCACGTCTGTTGTGAGATAGTAAGTCACTGATGACAATGGTGGACGGTGGTGCGACTTTGTGGATCAGTGGTTTAGAGGTTAGGCGTTTGCGCGCGTAACTGGTAGGTCCTGGGTTCGAGTCTCGTGAGGCCGGATTATGGATGCGCACTGTTGAGTAGTCCCAAAAATGGGATGAAACGGCCATCCAGTTCATTCAGATTTTCCATGGTGGTTCAGCTTTAATTGACTCATGAATTCAACTATTAAATTAGTTTACTTCACAAACTGAAATAATTCCAATTTTATAGAAACTGATATTCAGGCGTTTAATATAATGATAAATCATGTTAAGAGTCGATAGTTATCCTAAAATAATCTACTTTTCAAACATAAAGATTGAATAAACTTAAGGTAAATGGGTAGTTACAAAGATTTGATTCAGTTGAGAATTAACTACCATTGATCAATTCACTTATTCATTCACTATTAGATCTATATTTTGACATCAATGATATACGTTGCTCACATTTGAGATTGTGTATTTGCCATAAAAACAAACAAACAAACAATATCCTCTTTTGTTTTTAGGGATTCTCATCATCTAGTTTTGCATTTATGCGCTTTCCTAATGGAACTGAACGAACTCCCAGAGATCATTGGCACAAACCGATTCACAGGGATAAACAAGGTTACTATATACCAAGGTAATTATTTCTAATAAATATGTATCAGGTAATTATGATCAGAGGCAAATCTATTGAGTGACTTCAAGAGAAACTCCTGGAGTTTTAGTGAGAAGTACGGTGTACGATGTACGGTGGCGCTACTTCGTGGATTGGTTGACGTTAGACATTAACACCGTTGGACGCCGGCTCAGTGGTCTAGTTGGTTGAGCGCCTGGCGCGATGCTGATAGATCTTGGGTTCGAGTCTCGCGGGATGCGAGATTGTGGATGCGTACTGCTGAGGGGTCGCATACTAGGACAAAACGGTCGTTCAGTGCTTCCAGGTTTTCTATGGTGGTCTAGCTTCAATCGACTCATGATTTCAACCAGTGAAATTTCTAAAATCTCCACAAAACCCATTCTGATAAAAATATAAAGAATTTAACGAAGAAAAATTTCTATTTAGCGAAATCATTCACTTAAGTTTTACATTCATATTTATACTTGAAAGGTAAATATATGAGTCTATAGAAGGATAGAAAAGACGACATCATAAAATGAGTTGAGACTATAGTTCAGTTATTAACATAACCATCATTTTATTCGGTTTTTTCCTTCAGATCTGTCACATGGACAATTCTAACCCGTAAATTATTTTCATTCATGTATTCTTCCCTATCCCCTCCCACTTCGTGACTATTACGCAACCTCATTTGATATCTATAGTCTCGATTCACTTTATGATGTTATCTTTTATGAACATTTATTTACCATACAACAATAAATACGAATGTACATCTTAAGTAAATGATGTCATGGAAATGAAAGTTTACTTTGTTGAGTTTGTAACAGTATACTTCTAAGATTATATCTAAACGTATTATGTTATTTGATTTGATGATCATTTTCATTGAAACTTCTAATATTTTACAATTTTTGAAAAGTGAAATGATGTTGAAACAATCGGTTTATATTACTTACTAACTTGATTACTTGCTTACGACGCCGACCAGCATTCTCTGTCTTCGGCTTTCCTTTCTAGTTCTATCCAGTAATTTATACTGGGCATAGTTCAAATCAAGCAACTAATAAGTAAACGATTGGAACGGTAAGTTTGACGAATTACCTAATATAGTTTTATAAGCAAATATATAAGAGCATTAAAGTAAGTAAGTAAGTAAGTAAGTAAGTAAGTAAGTAAGTAAGTAAGTAAGTAAGTAAGTAAGTAAGTAAGTAAGTAAGTAAGTAAGTAAGTAAGTAAGTAAGTAAGTAAGTAAGTAAGTAAGTAAGTAAGTAAGTAAGTAAGTAAGTAAGTAAGTAAGTAAGTAAGTAAGTAAGTAAGTAAGTAAGTAAGTAAGTAAGTAAGTAAGTAAGTAAGTAAGTAAGTAAGTAAGTAAGTAAGTAAGTAAGTAAGTAAGTAAGTAAGTAAGTAAGTAAGTAAGTAAGTAAGTAAGTAAGTAAGTAAGTAAGTAAGTAAGTAAGTAAGTAAGTAAGTAAGTAAGTAAGTAAGTAAGTAAGTAAGTAAGTAAGTAAGTAAGTAAGTAAGTAAGTAAGTAAGTAAGTAAGTAAGTAAGTAAGTAAGTAAGTAAGTAAGTAAGTAAGTAAGTAAGTAAGTAAGTAAGTAAGTAAGTAAGTAAGTAAGTAAGTAAGTAAGTAAGTAAGTAAGTAAGTAAGTAAGTAAGTAAGTAAGTAAGTAAGTAAGTAAGTAAGTAAGTAAGTAAGTAAGTAAGTAAGTAAGTAAGTAAGTAAGTAAGTAAGTAAGTAAGTAAGTAAGTAAGTAAGTAAGTAAGTAAGTAAGTAAGTAAGTAAGTAAGTAAGTAAGTAAGTAAGTAAGTAAGTAAGTAAGTAAGTAAAGGAATATTACTATTCACAACTCCAGTAGTTTTAATTTTCAAATAACTATGACCATGAGATTGCTTTGTATTGCACTGTAAATGGCTTTGAATGACAAGCTTACTTACATACATACATACTTACATACACACACATATATACCTACCTATATATATATACACTTGCTTACTTAATGGTTATTTTTAATTTATTAAAATGAATTAAATATATTTCTTCCATAGCGACAATACAATGATCAAAATTACAAGGGAATGGGAAAGTGCAGAAGGAATGTTTAGAAAGGATTTTTACTCTTTCGTTACACCAGCCATCTTGGTAAGTCAATATATATGTTTCACACTTTTTTTCTATATTTCACTTAACAACAAGAAATAGTTTCAAAGATACATAAATATATATCCATTTGTCAATACAGTCTATGGATATATTAGATATTGAAACGACAAATAGATGACTAACTAACTTACTTACTTACGGTTGTCACTCCCAATGGAGTATACGCCGCCGCCCAGCATTCTCCAACACACTCTGTTCTCGACTTTCCTTTCTACTTCTATCCGATTCTTGTTCATTCTTTTCACATCTGTCTTCATTTATCGGTGTAATGTGTTTTTTGGTCTCTGCAGCCTCTTTTAGCCTTGATTATTCCAACCGAGGACTTGTCTTGTGACGCATCTGGTTGCTTTCCTCAATGTGTGTTCTATCCACTTCCAGACTTTCTTCCTTCACTGGAATGAGGTTTGTTCTCTCCCACAGTAAATAAACAGATTGCCGCATGTTATCTATTTTATTTGTATAACATTGGTTAACTTTGACAGGTAATCTGTTGATTAAATCATTCAGTGTTTACTTACAGACAAGATTTTGGAAACTCACTTTATTTACTTCAGTTCTAGGATAGGATGAATAACGTGTATATATTGTGGCTGAAATCAGAGTACAGAAATCCAGACTTGATGATGAAGTTACAACTTCATGGTAGTAAAATCCTATAAAATACATGTACAACTGCAGAGAATCTAAAGAGATTGAAAAAAACAGCTCGTAAACAACTGTAGTGAACGAGAACACAAATTGAGACAATCGAACGTATTTCAAGGAGAAATTACAGAACATCTTGGTGAAATCTCAGATACATACAGTAAATACATCATTTGCAAAATGTCATTCAGTCGTCTCAAACTTGACTGCTCCGTCTTCAAATATCAGTCAGTCGTCTCAAACTCCACTGTTTCTGCATTTTCGTATCAATTGTTTTCCGTCCCCATTTTTCTTTCTCGATATTCTACTGAAATGCAATATATTTCTAACTAGAGTTATATACTACTTATGTCAATATAAGTAGCTCACATCACACAACTAAAGCTTTCTGACAATAAAATTAGATTCATGAGTAATGTGTTACAATGTAATTCAGGATTAACATAATGTGGACTTTGAGATACATAGGCTGAACGTACTTACATCATTAATCTACTTGTTTGTGACATATACATAGTTTTTCGATAGATTTGTCATGTTCTTATTACTTTTATGAATAAACTCATTCTCGACAAAGATTGTGCAATTGTACCTCTGAATGTCAATTTACTGCACTGTTTAACACAATAATAATGTTTAATGTAAGTATTTTAAGCCGCTGTCGTCCTACAGTAGTGTGTCACGTAAATAAGTGATGTAAAGTCATATAATTTAAAAATAATGAGAATTCAGCGAAGAATAATTTCTTTCCAAAGAAATCATTTACTTAAGCTGTACATTCGTATTTATAGTTATTGTGGAAAATATATGAGTTTATAGAAGGATAGAAATGACTAAATCATAAGTTAATTCGAGATTCTTTCTTCTGGTGGTCGACTGGATTATGAAGACCTCGACATCTGAGGGAAAACACGGAATAAAATGGACAGCTCAGAATCAATTAGACGATTTGGACTTCGCTGATGACCTAACCCTCCTATCGCACACACATGAACAAATGCAGATAAAGACAGCCAGTGTAGCAGCAGTCTCTGCATCAGTAGGCCTCAGCACACACAACAGGAAAACCAAGGTCCTCAAATTCATAACGAAGTACAGCAATCCGATCACTCTTGATGGCGAAACTCTGGAAGATGTAGAATCCTTCACATACTTGGGAAGCATCATCGACGAACAAAGAGGTTCAGATGCAGACGTAAAGGCAAGGATTGACAAAGCAGGAGCCGCATTCCTACAACTGAAGAACATGTACAACTCAAAACAGCTTTCAACCAATATCAAAGTGAGAATCATCAATACCAACGTCAAGGCAGTCCTACTGTACGGAGCTGAAACTTGGAGAACTACTACAACCATCATCAAACATGTACAAGTATTTATAAATAGTTGTCTTCGCAAGATACTTAACATCCATTGTCACAATACTATCAGGAACAGCCTTTTGTGGAATAGACCAAACCAACTTCCTGCTGAAGAAGAAATTAGGAAAAGACGACGGAAATGGATAGGACATACATTACGCAAATCGTCAAACTGCATCACGAGACAAGCCTTGACTTAGAATCCTAAAGGGAAGCGGAAAAGAGGAAGGACAAGGAACGCTTTACTTTGGGAAACAGAAGCAGATATGAAAAGGATGAATAACAACGGGAAAGAGCTGGGAAGGATTGGTTGGGACAGGGTTGGATGGAATATGCTGGTGATTGGCTCATGCTCCTTCACGAGGAGTAACAGGCGTAAGTAAGTAATAAGTAAGGTAAGGTTACATAATAATTGAGGGGGAAGAGAAGAGTGTAATGCTGAATTCTCTTTATTTTTTATTCAACGACATAATGGATGATTTTAATTATATAATTTATTGAAATAACAATTGATCTTGAGTTATATTCTAATATTCGAGTATATGTTGTTGTGTTTTTTGTGACTTTGAGCCTGACTAACTATCATGTGATTGATTCACCATTCAATCTTAGTACTCTACCATATCCATGACGTTAGACCGGTATGAATAGTCTAGTGTTTTTATTCATCCTTTGTCCTCCTAACCTTTCCAGTTGAGTCTGGAACGTCAATAACAGCTCCAATTTCAAACATACTTGGTTTATATACCAGCCAAACAAACCATATCACATCATAAAATAGGAAATAACATTTGTATAAGATTTAATCAAATGTGGCTGTGAATGTGGGAGACAGTAATCAATAAATTGGACATAACTTAAGAACAGTAAATCATATTATAATAATCTCTACATGAAAATGAAGCTTATGATAAGAGGAATATAGTTATACACAATCTAGTTACTGAATGGTTATACAATAAGAATATATGTATAATATATTGTCTATAGAGAGTTCTCAGAAGTTACCCCTAATTTAATTCTCATTAGGATATCACAATGAGTTATTTAAAAATAATATAGAACACATTTAAAGTTATTTTAATGTTACTAAACGATATGAAATCTTATATACATACTATTTAGGGAGCTGCAAAAAAGCATTTGAAATGTGCACGTTTAAATGGAGTTGATTTAGAAAATCAAAAACATCGTGGACCAATTGGTTCTCATTGGGAAGGGAAAACATACGGAGTAAGTTAAATCATAATTTATGATAGAATACTGTAGAAAACTGTAGTAAAAATGATTTATTACAAAATAAAGTTTATGGATTCGAATAGAGGACCTTTGGTCTTGCACTCAAATGACCGAATCCAGCGATCATAGATGTACGCTGATGAGTCCCACAATAGAACGAAACAACTGTCCAGTGCTTTCAGGTTTTCAAGGGCGATCTAACATCAATCGGTTCATGATCTCAATCAAAAAAGTATATTTTATTAGATATTTTTTAAGATTTTTTCTATAATGGTATTTCAACTGGTATTTCGTTTTTATAACTAGCTGGTATTTATAATACAATTATTACAAAATAAACAGGATTATAAACATTGGTCTATTGACGATTCACATTCCAGTGTATATCACTTGTTTAAATAATTTTCATGATTTTATTAGCTAATATGAATGTTGACTAGCAGTGTAATCCAGGATGCACGTTTCATATTATTTCGCACTGGTCAGCTGGATGCACCTGAATCCTAGAATTCATATTCACTTCGGAACTTATAAAACTTGTAACTTAAGTATATATCGAGGCGATCCGCACAGGATGCACATATGCCAACAAGAGACTGATCAATTTTAATCCTAAACAACAATATGAGGATACAAGCAACGAATATCAAGTGAACTTAATCTTTATGATTGTACAAGAAAATCGACAAAGCTAGATTTAAATATAAATGGAAGACACGACAGATGAAAACAGACTTCTAACTTCTTTTTTTATTTACATATGCTCACTAGTGACTGGATTTCAACCGGGTTTGTTGCGAGATAGTAACTCACTGATGACAGTGGTAGATGTGTCGCTCAATTTTGTGGATTAGTTGAAGTTAGACATTTGCACTGTTGGATGCTGGCTCAGTGGTCTAGTGGTTATATGTTAGTGCACGAGACTGATAGGTCCTAGGTTCAAACCTCACGAGTCGAGATTGAGGATGCGCACTGTTGACGAGTCTCACAATAGTTCGAAAAGGCTGTCTATTGCTTCCAGGTTTTCCATAGTTGTCTAGCTTAAGTTGACTCATGATCTTAACTATTGAAATTACTATAATATCCACATGAAATCCCTTCTGATTTTATTTTTATTCCTTATTGATACTGATTTTTTGCAAGAGCAGCATTTAACACTATTTAGTCAAGAAATTAACATCTAAACAAAGTTTACAAGACCGGTGTCAGACAAGGTTGCTTACTCTCACCCTTTCTTTCTCTCCTGGTGATCGACTGGATCATGAAGACGTCAACATCTGAAGGGAAACACGGGATGCAGAGGACATCTAGGATGCAGTTGGACGATCTAGACTTCGCAGATGATCCGGCCCTCCTATCGCAAACGCAACAACAAATGCAAGAGAAGATGAACAGTGTAGCAGCAGTAGGTTTCAACATACACAAAGGGAAAAGCAGTATTCTCCAATACAACACAGAATGTACCACTCCAGTCACAATTGACGGAGAAGATTTGGAAGATGTAAACACCTTTACATATTTGGACAGCATCGTTGATGAACATAGTGGATCTAATGCAGATGTGAAGGCGCGGATCGTCAAAGCAAGAGCAGTATATCTACAATTGAAGAACATCTGTAATTCAGAACAACTGTTAACAAACACCAAAGTCAGAATTCACAATGCAAATGTCAACACAGTTCTAATGTATAGGGTGGAAACTTGGAGAATTACGAAACTAATCATCCAGAAGATACAAGAGTTTAATAACAAAAGTCTACGCAAAACACTTCCAATCCGTTGGCCGGACACTTTTAGCAACAACCAACTGTGGGAGAGAACAAACCACATTCCAGTGGAGGAAGAGATCAGAAAGAGGCGTTGGAAGTGATTAGGACACACATTGAAAAAATAAACCAACTACGCCACAAGAGAAACCCTCACTTGGAATCCTCAAGGTCAAAGGAGAAGAGAAAAACCAAAGAACATATTAAGTCGCGAAATGGAGATAGACGTGAGAAAAATGAACAAGAATTGGATGGAATTAGAAAAGAGTGCCTAGGCTACAGTGGGTTGGAGAGTTCTGGTCGACGGCTTATGCTCCATTAAGAGTAACAGGCGTAAGTAAGTAAGTCAAGAAAATAACATCTAAACAAAATTTACATGATGATCATGTTATTGCTGTACGTCGTGAATGGAATTTTTATTTAGAATGATATATTATAGCACTTGGCTCAAAATCGTTTGTAATGGTGCACGTGCATCCTTTCTTTGTGTTCTCCTAAATTCTAATATTCTGAATATTTCATGTTTCTTTGTTTCTTTTTCCAAACTTATTTCACTGAAGTATACTCCTTGAATAACATCTTTGAATCCTAATCTTCCCGATTACTGCTTATACTATTACTACGTTTGTCACTATGGGATTTGAAACGACAATTGTACCTGTGTGGTAATGTGGTATGGCAAGTTGAACTGATGTGCGTCCGTACGTACATACGAAGTTACATGTTGTTGCTGACTGACTGACTGACTGATTGACTGAATGATTATAGTACTTAGGAAATGAACTTTATCCCATGAAACTATGTGTATTCATTTTATTCTATTAATGTTTATTCATTTCATTTCTTCAAATACATTTTAGACTGAAATAATGACTGGAAGAATAGAAGTAGACTATGCTGTATCTAATTTGACTTTAGGTTTCTTTGAAGATTCAGGGTAAGATTATCTTTATAATGTAATATTCTTAAGTACTTTAGCTTACAGAGAAAAAAAGTAGTAATTCAGTTTTTCATCAATCCCAGTAATATAATCTATAGTATGAATTACCTCAATAACCTTAGAGTACTTGTTTGTAATATCATAGATCCTCTGTTCAAAAAACTTATTAAAACACAATTGATTTATTGTATAAACTTAGTTTAAAGTATAAACCATATAAACAGGTTACAAATAACTAAGTTCCAGGAACCGTATATAAAGTAACTAAGCAATCATTTCTGACTGATTCATTATATGCATCGAGAGAATTATAACTTTAGAAGCATACATATTGTATGTTCTTTTCTTACCATAAATCATTCACTAGTTGGTAGCTTGTTAAGAAACTTATCTGATTCTAAGGTAAGGATTGTATCATTTAAATGTGACATTCGCCACTGATCAGAATCCTAAAATCGTTTATGTTTCCAGTAAATGTAGATTGGGTTACAATCAGTTTGCTAAAAATATCATCATTTAAGCAAACGAATACTTCAAGTGATCATAAATATAATTAATATTCATACTTAACATCTCAGGTCATAGAGATGATTTTCTCAGCTACTTAGGTCATAGAAACATTTCTTCTACACAACATATTCATCTGATAATCTTTATTTAATTGTCTAGTAATGAACAAATATTCATTTATAATAATATAACATTCTCAACAATATCAAATAAAAAAAGACATAGTTTGAATTTCAATAGTTAAGATGATGAGTCAGTCGGATGCCTGCTGGCTCAGTGATCTAGTAGTTAAGTGCTCGCGTGCGAAACCAGTAGGTCCTAGGTTCGAATATTACGGGCGGCGGGATTGTGGATGCGCACTACTGAGGAATCCCACAATAGGACGAAACGGCCGTCCAGTGGTTCCAGGTTTTCCATGTTGGCTTAGCTTCAACTGACTCATAATCTTAACGGCTGAAATTACTATAATATCCACAAAACCCATCTGACATTGTTTTAAGTTAATATACATTAATATAATTCAAAATAATTCATTTATTAAATACCGCAATAATTCAATGACTTTATCCTTTGTATATATCGATAAAGTATCTGTTGAGTCGGATTTCCGAGAACTGCAACGGAGCCTCAAAAGGCCCTAAAGGAGCCGAAGAGTCCTAGCCAATCAGAGCATGATGGAGCTTTCTAGAATATCAGCGTGGCGTACTACTATTGGTCAGTAGCATAATATGTCTTTTAGCGGATTGACCAAAATATAATGTTGATTTAACAAATGTTACTTACTTTCTTACGCCTGTTACTCCCAATGGAGCATAGACCAGCATTCTCTAACCCACTCTATCCTGGGTCTTCTTTTCTAATTCCATCCAATTTTCGTTCATTTTTCTCATGTCTATCTCCATTTCCTGGCGTAATGTGTTCTTTGGTCTTCCTCTTTTCCCTTGACCTTGAGGATTCCATGTGAGGACTTGTCTTGTGACGCAGTTGGGTGCTTTCCTCAATGTGTGTCCTATCCACCTCTAGCGCTTCTTCCTGATTTCTTCCTCCACATTTAACAAATGTTGACATCTATAAATACCCGTGTTTTTCTATACAAAAATGAACCTTTTTGAGTAGAGTGCTTTCGGCTTATTTTGCGCCTTTTCTCTCGAGTTCATGTCGCTGCGTAGTTCTAGCTTGCGTGTGACCAGAATAGCTTAGGAACCGAATAAACCATTCAAATTAACAAGACTTATCAGTATCTATGATAATTATGTCTTTTTTCATTCTCAATAAATTTAGACAACAAATCTATGCCAGCAAAATATGCTGGAAAAGCTAATCTAATGTAAATATTCATAGTTGTGAATAAAACTCCTCCTGAAGTCCCTCCGTGGGCTATTGCCTGTCCCAAGCCTGTATAAAGGAGAAGTGTTGGGTATGGGGGTTAGCGACTCGACCCAGTAGAAAACTAACTTGCTAAAAAAGCGCTAACCAGAATAAAACATACTAATTATAACAATTATAGGGTTATTATAAATATGTATCAATTATGCCTAAATTATATCAAGTTGTTTTTGTTTAATTTCTTAGATGGTACATCGTTAATTATCGAAAAGCTATGATTTGGGAATATGGTAAAAGATTAGGATGTGACTTTGCTGAAAAAAGTTGTTACGCATTTGCTGAAATTAAAAGACGAAAGTAAGTTTTAATAGTTGAATGAATGATTCGATCTAAGCTAGACTGATATTGAAAGCCTAAAAGCATTGGACTATCTCGTTCTAGTATGAGATTCTTCAGCAATTCCATCATCATTATTTAATGTTTAAGAAAGCAAAATGTATACTCAAGAAACAGATGTATCAATAATATTTATCATACGATTAAGTTCATATTTCGAAAAATGACCAAATATCAAAGTGATGTTATTCCATCAAAACCTGTTTCTTTGTAACTGAAAAGTTGGCCATTTCATCCTAGTACGGAACTTCTCAGTAGCGTGCACACAGAATCTTGCACGCGAGGATTCTAACCCAGGAGCTTGAGTTTTGCGCGCGAAAAGTCAACTTCCAACGGTGTTAATGTCCAACTTCCATCGATCCATCAATAACTACGCAAACATTCATCTATTATCTGAGGTAGATACTTGTGTCTATTCGACACAGTTTAGACTCCTCTGGTCACAGCTTCTCATTAGAATTCCAAGAAATCATCTTGAAGCCAGTCACTCATAAATTCAACTATTCAAATTACTACAATCTCCACAAAAACCTCATTTTGATCATAAATATCAATTATTCAGTATAGTTTATCATTACCACATTATGAATAAAAGGACGTATAGTAAAACAAACTGCTTTCTTACTCCATAATAGGATAGATGTTTAGGAGAAATTTCATATACTTATAATAATGTAGCAGTGTAGTGAACAGAACACGGGTAAGGACAATCGAATGTATTTGACACAAAATTACAGAGCATCTTAATAAAATCTGAGAACTATATATTAAATTGTTAATTTACAAAATGTCCGCCAATTGTCTCAAAATGCCTCAGACTTCATTGTCCTTACATTTTCATACAAATTGCATTCTATTCCCACTCTTGCTTTCTTGATCTTCCTCCATCTTCTGCTGCTAGACATTACATTCTTGACTCGTGTCATATACTACTTATATCAATGTAAGTAGCACGCACTACAGTACGTTTATGATCTTATACCACATGGCTAGACTGTTCGTACACAAAAGAGTTAGATGAATTCTATTGTACATTTAAATACTTACTAAAACTTATGTTTCCTTGTAAATTAGTTATAAATGATTTAAAAATACAACTTATTTTTCAAGGAACAAAACAATTCATCCATTCTGTGATAAAGTTAATTTAGTAACATGTCGGGATTTATATTCATATGGAATATGCCGTATTATTAAATATAATCATGAAATTCCCCCTGAAGATCGTTTTTTTAAAACTCCTCCATTTGAAACTTCATATGCAGCTAAATACTTTGGAGGTGATGATGTATTTAAAGATTATTGTCCAACTCAAACTGTAAGTTTATTGTATTATTTCATTTTAAATATCATATTAGTTGAATTCATGAGTCAGTTAGACAACCATGGAAAACCTAGAAACACTGGATGGCCAACTCGTCGTAGTACGGGATTCATTAGCATTGAGAATCTACGACCCTGACTCTTGAGATTTGAACCCAAGACCTACCGGTCTTGAGCATGATTCCTTAACTTCTAGACCAGTGAGACGACATATAATGGTGTTAATGCCTAACTTAAACCAATTCAAAAAATCGCACCACCGTCCACCATTGTCATCATTGAGTAACTATCTCACAACAGACACGGTTGAATTGCACTGATCATGGTTTCTCACTGAATGATACAATAACTGATATTCTTGTGAATGTTTGCTTTTCTTTCTGAGTTTTCATTCAACACATGTTCATATTTACTCCAGCTGACTTATATATATATTTAATATAAATCTATCTTCCTATAAGATTTCATTAAGTCATCTATCATTTAGATATTGGTTTGTTGAAATTGAATATTCCAGGTTTTGTTTATAGTGAATAACCAATCACCCATACTTTTAAAAAGAAACTGTTGAACAATACTGATCTGCCAGAAGATTCTCAACGTGTTTCGTTTTTAAATTTTTACTCATATATTTGTACAATCTTACCTTTCATTGGAAAATTATGACGGTATTAAACAATAAGTATCATCACCAAAGTCTGACTTGATAATTTCAATAGTTGAGATCATGAGTCAATTGAAGCTAGACCATCGTGAGAAAACTAAAAGCATCGGAGGGCCATTTTGTCCTATTATAAGACTCTTCAATAGTGCGCATCCATGACCCCACTTCGCGAGATTCGAACCCACGACCTATATATATATATATATATATGTAATATCTAAATGAGTCGAAAAATTAAATTTTCTGATGTTTCGTGACTCAGTGTAAGTCACTTCTTCAAAGAATAAACAAATAACCAAATCAAAATTAATCCAGGTTTAAATAGTACAAAGGAACAACATAGAATTGAGTAAGAGAAAAGACTGTATAATTCATCATTAGTAGTTCAATAATGTACAAGGTTTTATTGATCTCTCAAATAGATGCTTATCAACTGTTTTTGAAACATAGATCTATTTAATGTGAAAGAAGTGAAGTCATTCTAAAAAAGTAATGACAATGGTAAGTATAAATCACTGATTATAAAATACTCCAAGTTATATGATCATAGTAACTATTGGGAGTTTCCATACAAGTTTGTTTAGAACTTCTCAATTCACCTCTATACTAAATGAAGTTAAAATTGTTAATTTTATGTTTTTCTATTTTATGTAAACCTTCGTATTAGTTTGTTATGAGTTCGAAGAACGATAGAACGACTTCATTTTGTACACATCATGAAAACACAGAAATAACACGTGAGAATCTCGTTATCTCGTTATGTGATATGCTCTTATTCTTGATGTTAATCAGTTTCTAAGTTGAAATACATTACTTTATCCATTGAATATTAATCATTTATAACTTTCAATTGAAGAATATCCATTTCGATAGCATATTATTCTTTGTATTGTTTTATCGATCAGACTATAATTTATAGACGAACCAATCAGGGAAAAGATAACAAGTCTTAGATTTCGGTGTGAAATTCACTCATCCATTTGGCACAATATCATGTTGACATTAGAGATGACGTCAATTCGTGGTGAAAATCTCAAATCTAATTCCTAATCTTGACAATCAACTATAAATCATCATTCTAATTTTTCATACAGGTTTATAATCTTCATCTGGTCCTAGCTATTAGATTAACCATCTCAAAGTCACTTGAGCACCACTCAAAGGTCATCCATAAATTATAGTCTCTCTAAAAGTTTTGAAATATCCTCTTCAGAGAAAGAATAATTATCGAAACCATCATCATCATCATCATCATCATCATCATCATCATCATCATCATCATCATCATCATCATCATCATCATCATCATCATCATCATCATCATCATCATCATCATCATCATCATCATCATCATCATCATCATCATCATCATCATCATCATCATCATCATCATCATCATCATCATCATCATCATCATCATCATCATCATCATCATCATCATCATCATCATCATCATCATCATCATCATCATCATCATCATCATCATCATCATCATCATCATCATCATCATCATCATCATCATCATCATCATCATCATCATCATCATCATCATCATCATCATCATCATCATCATCATCATCATCATCATCATCATCATCATCATCATCATCATCATCATCATCATCATCATCATCATCATCATCATCATCATCATCATCATCATCATCATCATCATCATCATCATCATCATCATCATCATCATCATCATCATCATCATCATCATCATCATCATCATCATCATCATCATCATCATCATCATCATCATCATCATCATCATCATCATCATCATCATCATCATCATCATCATCATCATCATCATCATCATCATCATCATCATCATCATCATCATCATCATCATCATCATCATCATCATCATCATCATCATCATCATCATCATCATCATCATCATCATCATCATCATCATCATCATCATCATCATCATCATCATCATCATCATCATCATCATCATCATCATCATCATCATCATCATCATCATCATCATCATCATCATCATCATCATCATCATCATCATCATCATCATCATCATCATCATCATCATCATCATCATCATCATCATCATCATCATCATCATCATCATCATCATCATCATCATCATCATCATCATCATCATCATCATCATCATCATCATTTAGGTTCTTTGTTCACAGAATACAATATCCAATGTTCTGTGTTTGTGAACATAGATTTACTAATATTTTTGTTTATTTTACTACAAATTACGAATGTTTTTAGATACCTTTTGAACTTTATTTCAATATCAGATGGTGTTAATCGTTTATACGAAACATATGGAACAAAGGCACTTTGTACAGAACATCGAGGTACTTGGATTTATAAGGATCATTATGAAGAGGAAATAAGTAGTAATGTGAAAGCAAGTTGTCATAAGGTAACTTTAAGTCTCTTTGTCTAACGTTTTTTCTGGCTACTAATATGTGACCTATTCTCCCACGTGAGGGGTAACAGGAGTAAGTTGGTAAGTGAGTAAGTAAGCAAGTAGGTAAGTAAGTAAGTCAGTAAGTATGTAAGTAAATAAGTAAGTTAGTAAGTAAGTGAGTGAGTGAGTGAGTGAGTGAGTAAGTAAGTAAGTAAGTAAGTAAGTAAGTAAGTAAGTAAGTAAGTAAGTAAGTAAGTAAGTAAGTAAGTAAGTAGTAAGTAAGTAAGTAAGTAAGTAAGTAAGTAAGTAAGTAAGTAAGTAAGTAAGTAAGTAGGTAAGTAAGTAAGTAAGTAAGTAAGTAAGTAAGTAAGTAAGTAAGTAAGTAAGTAAGTAAGTAAGTAAGTAAGTAAGTAAGTAAGTAAGTAAGTAAGTAAGTAAGATATGTCATAATATAATATGAAACATGACGTTTATGATTCCAAAAATCTTGTCCACATTAGTTATATCTTGTTCAATTCATATCTTAACAGTACATTATTTACTACAATAAAACCGTTTTTATTAATCAAAAGTCAAAGATTTTATCAAAACACTGAGTTAAACCGTGTTTTGAGGGGACTATTTGAATCAAACTAAAACACGTAGGACTTCAGAAGTCTTAACAAAAGTTTGAAAGTAGAAAGCAATACATGCATTTCAAGTAAAATTTTCTTTATCATAACAATATGGTGAAACTATAATATATGAACGAACTGGTTAGATATAAGATAACAGATCTTGGATTTTGGCGCGAAATTCATTTATTTATTCGACTTTATAGCGTTTTGGGAATTAAGCTGATAATATTTCGTGATGAAAACCACTATACTAAATCCTAAAGCTAACCATCAACCATAAATCATAACAGAAGCTTTTTTGTGGATATTATATTAATTTCAATAGTTGAGATCTTTAGTCAACTGAAACTAAACCATCATGGAAAATCTGGAAGCACTGAATGGCCGTTTCGTACTATCGTGAGACTCCTCAACAGTACGCATCAATGATTGGGAACCGCAAGATTCGAACCCAGGACCTATCAGTCTCGCGTGGTTTATAACTCCGTTTAGTCTCAGTTATTAAGTGAACATTCTCAAAGTCACTCTAGCGTCATTCAAATTTCGTCCATAAATTATAGTCTCACCATGAATATAATTGTAATTATTCATAACTGGCGTTATTTTATGTCATTCTAGGATTATGTTGAAGATTTATTAATATCTTTGACTTTTTTCTTCAGTATGTATGTCACCCGAACAGAACACTTAGTTTTTACTTCAAAAATGCAACTGTTCATTGTCCTAAAAAAGGTGAAGTACATTTTAAAATAACTGATGGAAGAACTTGGCTTCAAGGTACTCTATTTTGTCCTAATGTCAAGAGACTCTGTAAGGTATGCATCATATGTGTATATTTGTTTTACTTTGAAATGAAATTGAAATAATGTGTATTATGACCACTTTCATTTGCATTAATCTCTATGTATAAAGTTAGATAGATCAGACAATATGTCATAACTAAATGTGAAGTTGTCTATAAATATTGTAGAGAAGCTGTAAGTTAGTAGATCATTTCGGCATGATTTGTAAAGATTATTACTCCGATCATGATAAATGAAGTTCCTTGATAATTTTGCTTGTATATTTGAGTTGAATCATCTTTGAATCATATATATGGTAAATTCATTGAAATAGCTAATCAGATTTTCTGAATAAATCTGTAGTGTCCGTGATTCAACATCTGTCAAGGAATTATCTAATTCATTCATAGTAGTTAGAATCAGTTGGTCAATATTTTGAGACTTCAGTTAATACTTAACTTATTTCGAGTAAGATACTATATCGTAAACAGTTACTTGATACCAATTAGTTTTGAATGCATCGTTATACCAATCTATTCTTTCATGAAACATTAAGTTTCATTAGACAGATGCTTACAATTTATGGTTAAATGTCAGTATACTAACTTTGAAATTTTGTTCCTGGAAGACCATTTCAAAGATAATATTTATCTACTTATTTTAACACAGATATTGGTACAAGGAGGCACTAAATATATATGCGCCACACAGATCTCATTTGATTTATGTGAGGGCTGTGATACCGCTCGGGTGCTCAAACCGAAACAGATGGTTTTCTAACGAGGCCACACTTGGAGACTTTGATCTAAAGGTCTAACCCACAAGGCAGTGGAGCATCGTAATTAGATGCAGTCCCATGGTAGCCGGCAACCAATGATTGGTTCATATGTCATTTGTTCTTTCAGGAAACTGGAACCCATATGCACCTTTGTTTTGGAATGAGGGTTTTCCAACTTTCCTAGGTGGACTCTCTATGTCCACCAACCCGGTTAAAACACAGGACATTCGGGCGAGACTCTAATTTAGCGACGAGCCAATCAGAAGCGTTTGAGCAATTTCAAGGTCACGGAGCCAAGTTCAACACGTGCTGCTAACATACGATCGGTTCACAGCGGATTTTAGAGAGTAGGTGATTAATGAGAGGTTGAAACAGATGGGACGGCGAAACTCTAATCTAGGGACGAGCCAATGAGAAGCGTTTCAACAATTTCAATTATTAGCCTATCAGAAGACAATATAAAGTAAAAATATATTACAAGAAAGTAATGAATTACAGTGGATATTCTTCTTTTACATGATTTAAAAACTTGTTGAGGTTTGATAAAGGCTCAAACGTTCTGAATTCATAATGCATATTGTATAGAAACTCGTCCATAGGGTTAGGGTTTGGGGTTAAAGTTAGGGTTAGGGTTTAGGGTTAGATTAGGGTTTAGGGTTAGGTTAAGGTTAGGGTTTAGGGTTAGATTAGGGTTTAGGGTTAGGTTAGGGTTAGAGTTAAGGTTTGGGTTTAGGTTTAGGGTTAGATTAGGGTTTAGATTAAGGTTAGGGTTAAGGTTTGGGTTTAGGGTTAGATTAGGGTTTTAGGTGAGTGTTAGATTAGGGTTTAGGGTTAGGGTTAGGGTTTAGGGCTAAGGTTTGGGGTTAGGGTTAATGTTAGTGTTTAGGGTTAGATTGGGGTTAGAGCTAAGGTCCTAACATGCGATCGGTTTACATCGGATTTTAGAGAGGTGTATATTGACAGGCTACAACCCTAACCACTAACCCTATGGACGAGTTTCTATACCGTATTCATTATTAATTCAGAGCCTCTGAACCTTTATCAAACCTTAAGAAGTTTCTAAATCATGTAAAAGAAGAATATCCACTGTAATTCATTACTTACAATATATTCTCACTTTATACTAACTGTCTTCTGATTGGCTAATAGTTGTCAAGGTCATTTAAGATTCGTTCAAAGGTCGTCGCTAAATTAGAGTCTCGCCGACATTCGTTTTTCGTCCTCTCAACTTCGTAAAAAACACACCCGCCACGAGTAGGACTTTCCTGTCAGAGGCTTTATACGCATGGCCATATGAGAGCATTTGGAGAGGAAGAACGGACTCTCCCCACTCTCGGCCGCACCAGGGCATTTGAAGGCCTCAAAGATATACTGATAGTTTAACACATTTTAAGAAAAAAATACCGATAGTTGATTGAAAAACGTTTTTATGAAAATCATAATATACAGAGTTTATTAAAAGACAACCTTACAGATGGATGATTTGTTTTGAAAAGAGGAATGTAATTCTTTTTACACGTAATATTTGAACTGAATTATCTTTCAATTTATAAAGACAACGTTGCTAAGCAGGCTATTTGAGTTATTTTTGCAGTGAAATACATTATTTTAATATAGTGGTTAGAGGGAGTCAATCCTGTACTTAAAGTTTTGTGTTACCTGGTAATCGTGAGCAATGTGCACTTGTCATGTTGAAGGAAATAATGCTCCCTGACGGATTCAATTCCATGTCATCCAGCTTCACAGTCAGAAACGTTATCACTGAGCTATCCAGGCCGTGACTGACCTCATGTAGGACCGAGATGTATTTACACATGATTGATCACTGAGTGATATTCAACGTCATGTATGTCAGGTAATTCTTAGTACATATCGGATTCTATCAATCAAGTTGTAATGTGGCCACTAGTCTAGATGACTTGACATTGCGTACACCATCTTATATCAACATAATGCACGCAATGTGATCACATTTTAACTTGACCAATATTGATTAGCACCTAGTGATCAATTAAGTTTGAATTATTTTACGTATCGGAGCACAGCTTTTACACTCTTACTGATAAATATACAACATTTGGCACTGTGAACTAGTTTAAAGTTTTAATAATCACTAACAGTTTTCTGTATTCTTGTTTTCAGTGATTATGCTTACATGATACAGTTACATCGTGCGAATATCTTTACAATCAAACTGTTGTGTTATTGAACTCATTTCATTTATATCGAATAATATTCGATTACTAATTAACTGTTGTCATTTCTGATCTTATTAATTAGTTAGGAAACTTTAATTAGTCGTCACTAATCATTTCCAACTTAAGCGAAATCTTTGTCGATTACAGAATAGACAATGTAAATAGGATATAGTGTGGAGCAAAGATAATTATATGCAAAATAGTATTCATATTGATGACTGGGAAGGTAGTGGACACGAATATTTTTAATAAATACTGACGAGTTTAACTTAATTATAGTAAATACAAATAAAATGTAATGCTGTAGTGTGAGCTACTTATATCCACAAAAGTAGCATTAAACGATTGTTCAAAATAAAATGTATTTCAGAATAAGATCGTAAAGGAAAAAACGAGGAAAGTAATTGGTATGAAAATGCAGGAACAATGAAACTTGAGACGGATGTTTACAAAGAGAACAGTCAAGTTGGAGACAGTTGATTGAGTTTTTGGTAGTTTAGTATTTGATGTATGGTCCTCAGATTTTAGGACGATGTTCTGTAATTTTGTGTTCAAATACATTCGATTGTCCTCACCTGTGTACTCGTTCACTTCAATGTAATTTCAAAGCAATAATTGAAGTTTTAATAAAATACCACACCAGAATAAAGGTATTAATGTTTCACTGGTCTAGAGCCAGTGTGCTTCATAATTTAGAATCACGAGCAAACTATGTTGGTTAGTTTCGGAATCCTACTTTTCATCTATAGTTTTTCTTAATGAAGCTGAAGTTTCCGTGTTAGAACCGGTTTGTAAACATTTTGCGACTGCAGTCAACACTTAAATTATTTAGAGTACGATACTATATCGAAAACGGTTACTGTAAACCAGTTGGTTTTGAGTGTATCAATGTCTCAATCTATTCTATCATGAAACATAACGTTTCTATAGACAGATGCCCGAAATCACTGAAGAAACAGGGTCGTATAGGCTGTAAAATAAGCTTTTTAGAGGGTTCAAAAGACTTTCTGACACAATGGCTTTTAAATGTTTCAATCTAATAGACATTTATCATGTTATTCATGGTAATGAGATTTACAGTTGGCGAAATGCATATTTACTTTTCAATGTAACATAAAGATTCAATAAAAACTCAGAAAACGAATTTTTGTGATAGCATACATTCATTATTGAAATATACATCAAAGAAACACAAATCACATGGCTTCGTAAAGCAGACATACAAGAGTTAGTACTTCTGGTGCACTGAAGGTTTTATTTACTGACTTATTAGCTTATTGTAAGGATTTTTAATGGGAAGAACAAGAGTGGAAATATACGAATGACATTTCTAATGTTTGCTGAAAGTATTTCAATACAGAGATTGGAATTAATGTTTGACAGAGTAACTTGAACAGAAATGTCTCACTTTAATTAAACAACTTCATACGAATCAATTGCACGTAGATTACTTTGTCAGTAGCATGCAAAATGCGATGATGTTATCGTATGGCAGATCTGTAGTGACTGGCCTTTTGTGGAGACCTTATAGGTTACTCCAGTTTCTGGATAGACCAATTTATTCATTCTTCTTGAGTCACATTTTGACCTTGTTAATTATTAGTTTCGTTTTTTTACTTTTACCTTGCTTCAATTCGATTTGGACATAAATATTGAGTAACGCTTGATTAAAGTCAGTTGGCCGTTATGCCTTCTTTAATTTGTTTCGCTTTCTTCTCTCCGTCTCTCTGATTGTCTGTTATGATCATCTCTTATGCAAAATATACATATTTAAAACTTCATTTTCGTACTTGACTTATTTTAATTCCGTTATTCACTAACACGATTTAAGTCAATAAGCATATACGAGTGATGGCGATATGTATATGTCGATGACGATAATCATACGATCCAATTGGAGTCAGATAATCAAAGCTTATCAAATCTCAGTGAGGAACATGTTCAACTTTCTTTATAACCTAATTGAGCGCTGGCTATTCATAACTCATACGCTCGTTCAACATGTATAATCCACAAAGTTCGGATGTGAACTTTAAATAATGAATCAACACAATGTGGATACAATATTGGTTCAGTAAGTCAATTTTTTTCCAGTCTCACCATAATATCAGTGGCTCCATCAACTGCTTTGTTACTCTTAATTAGCTGAATGAAAAGAGAATGATGTGGTTTGCGAAATCTGATGTTCACAGATTTGGAAGTACGACACTCTACAGGATACTATAAAACATAGGTAAATGCTAAGAAAACAGACGAGTTGTGTCAAAACATATATATTCACAGAGTTTAGTTTTAAAGTATCCAGATAAATAAGAAGCACTATCGGTTTCAAGTGAACATGCTTGAAATGAAAATATCACTCCACAGAAACAGAAGATCATTATATGATTTAATGAAACCAGATTCTTCATGTGCTAAACATCCGATTATTCAGTATTCCAGTATCATAAAGTTCATAATTTATCATTCGTCTTTCCGAATAATGTAGTACTATAAACAAAGATAGATAGTGGCTAGTAGTGGAATCCAGAATGCGTGCTTTCTACTATTTGGGACTCGTCAGCTGGACGTTCATA